TCCCCACAACCCAAGAAGGGCCAAGTGCAACAACACAAGCAGGTTTCACCGCACTAATGCAAGCTTGTCCTTGGGTCGCCGAGGTTAGACCCTGGATGCAGCGGTAATTTAAGCTGTTAGGTTTTGCTCTCAGCTTTCCTTCTGATACTTTGGATTGACATTCACATAGATCTCACCCTCTAACGAGTATCAACATGTGAAATCCTCTGAACATTTAAATTCAGACTGGGCAGTGGGGAGGGGCGTGGGAAGGTAAGAGGGAAAGAGGACCACTTCTCTGTGGTCTCTCCCTCTCTTCCCTCCGGCTGCCTGGCCTGCTTCCTCATCTATTTCCTCCGATTGCTCGGTGAGGGGTGGCAAATTAGGCGCGATGATTCGGAGTCAGAGAGCACATTTAAGTGGCAAAGCAAGAATGCATCTCTCCCTAGCCACCAGCTGGACAGATTAATGAGAGGCAAGATAAGTCTAGACATCAGATATAAAACTGACTTCTCCTCATCTCTGAGATGCCTTCCCTGGAGGGGTTAAGCTCAGCCAGTCCATAGGCTCACAACAGCGTGCATAAAATGGGTTCTACAACATCCCTGTCACTAGGTGAGGGTGGCCTGGTCTCACCTTCAGGCCAAAACTTGGAAGGCTTCTGGCATTGCTTAGCATCAGAAAGCCAGCTCGACACTTCCAATCTCCTGCCCTGCAGAGAGGATGCAAGGGAAAGCCAAGCAGCGACACGGCACACATATTGACTGTCACTCAAGGTTGGAGGCCTGGTGGGTTTTTATTTTCTCACTCCTTAGCTGAGGCAAGCGTCCCGGATTCTTCTCTTGCTCTGTTCTGTTACTGACTTCACAAGGGAGAGAAGGCGTGTGCCTGGCCCAGTCCTGTGATGTCAGTGCTCTAACCCCAGTCATCCAACGTGTCTCCTTGTCCCCTTTACCACATGCCAGCTCCTCATTGCTGCCATCCTTTCTCTGTTCACGGTCATCCTACCTGGACCTTTCCCCCAACTGCCTCTCTCCCCTCCTGCAGCTGCCAGCCAGCGCACCCCACGGAGGGTTAATTGAGCTCGCTGCCTCGGTACCCTGGAACTGGACAGAAACCATCTCAGGGCGAAAATAAATCATTGCCACCTCATTTCACTTTTAATTTACTGCTGATTTTTTTTTTTAAGGCTCTGTCTTCCCACAACCTCTCTTTCTTAACCACTCATGCATGTTCAGCCTCTTGGCTCCCCGTTGGACAATGCAAGGCTGAAAGGTTTATCTGTAACCTATTTGTCTCTATTATAGGTTTCTGAACTGTAATTACACAGGAGACAGCCAGGCTCTCAATCCCACTTCCCAGGCCCTCGGGGTGTTGCTGGTGCCACCTAGTGTTGGGAAGGGGTGGAGTTTATTTGCTCCCGCAAGAGTGGTCCATGGTGGGGGAGTCCGATCCCCCTACCAAATTCACAATCACAGTGGGGCAGGAAAAGGCATGCATTGTTGTGTTTTTACCTTGAAAACGCTCACCTGCAAAAGCTGAGATGGGTTCTAGAAAAGAAGAAACAGAAACGGGATTTAGATAAAGGGATACCATCGTGGGTGAACAGAGTGAATAAGGAAGGGACCCTCGCATCTGCCCCAGACTGTCTCACACAGTGCCTTTGGGCAGGCCGGGTGGGGGAGGCAACCCCAAAGTTCCTTTGGAGCAAAAAGTCCTCCCTAGAGAATGGGTTTCGGCAGCATTGTAATCAACCACGTAGCACCGAAGGCTTTCTCAGAGCCTGGATCACCGTTAGATGCCCAGAGCCTGAGAGATGCCCAGAGGGACCAGGGTGGTCCCAGGTGCTTCTGACATCACCAGGCGTGCGAACGCCCGGGACCATGTGCCAACGCCTGGGACCATGCGCCAAGAAAAGCACTTGGTGTGTTGTCACAGTTACTCTGTGGGCTAAACCATGTCCCGGGCCTTCCCAGGGCTGTCTTCTTGCTTTGGGGAATGCCCATATCTCTAATTGGGGGTGGTCTGGGTGCCCTGGGAGGGACCCCTTCTGCAGGATGAGGCCTGGAGTAGAGGGTGTGCATCTCAAGTGGGCTAGCTGCTCAGGTGACATCAGGTGTCCCTGCTGTGCTGTGCAGCTGGCATGCAGCGCTCCGTCTTACGACTCGAGGGTGCTGAGCAGGAGAGAGATTTAGCTTCGGAGCAGATGCTGAACTCTCTTTCCTATGCTATAGTTAGTGCTGCAATTCATTCATGTAAAAGAATTACCCAGGTAATTGTGTGATCACTCTTATGTAACGGACATACTATTTTTTTGCTTCCCAGGGAAGGCTTCCATTAAATCCATCAAACCTTCCCAGCATGTAATTCTGACTGGCACTTGCTCTCATCCTCTAGCATTTTCTTCGCTAAAAGCCGGAGTTTGATGACAGGGTCTTGGCACCCTGGATCTCCATACACTTAGTGCATGTCTATTTCTGATTGGGAACAAGGAGATGAGCCTTCACCTCATCTCCATCCCTCCTGGCCTGAAGTCAGACTAAGGTGCCCCGACACCCACACCTTCCTCCCCCCACGCGGACTGCCGCTGCCCTCCCCCTGGTGAAACGCCGAGTCTGAGAAGGCATGCGATCTCCTCTTGGTGGCCCAAATTGGAAGAACCCCCGTGAGAGGGATATTCACATACCCATGCAGTTTTCCAGAGGGACATCGGTGCTGATCCGGATGTCATCAATGGCGATCTCTCCGGGGCGCCCCTTTCCTATCATTCCCTCAAACACGATCTACAAGCCAGAAGAACAAGAACCATTGTTACTGAGCTTTCTGGCCCACACAGTGTAAAGATTTCTAAGTTTCTGTGAACTGGGGCTTAAAGTGTGCGTGAGCAGGTGTACAACTATGTAGGCATGTGTGCGTGTATAGATGTATGGGTATGCCAGTGTGTGTGTGTACGTGCCTGCACCTGGTACACATCTGTTGACCACATGGTTGCAGCATTTGGAATCTTAATTTAAAAAGAGTTCGTTCAAATCAGATGCATATTGAAAGAGTGACAGAAAAACAACTCTGAACCAGAGTTGGATATCCTCGTTCAGTAAGTGGATGGCATTGTTTAGAAAGACCACAATCAGGGAGTGGTTAAGGAAGGGCTGAACGCCAGCCCCCGCCCCCACACCCCCCCAGCTGATTTTTGAGGGTCCTTTCTCATAAATCTTCCCTAAATGCCCAAATCAGACATTTGAAAACTCAGGGGATGTAAGCAGGTCGGGGTAACGTGAGAAGCACAGCCCACAGGTTTGAGTCACTGTGGGAATGGCATGACCCTTTGGGAGGGTCGGAGGGAAAAGATTTGTTTACTCGACAATAGTTTTCGGAGGGCCTACTATGTGCCAGGTACAAGGAGTTACAGAAAGGAAGAAAGGAATCGATGAAGACTCTCTGCCTGGAGAAGCTCACCATGGGCTGGGTGAGATGACACTGCCCAGGTCAGAAGTAGGGCTGGTGGCTCAGTGGTTAAGCACTCTTCTGTGAACTGAGAGTCAGTGGTTCGAACCCATGGTTCTGAGGGAAAATAGACCTGGCGATCTGCTCCCATAGCGAGTTCAGTCTTGGACTGCTATCCTCAGGTGGTGGATTTGGAAGTCAGTTAAATTATTTCTCTACAAGCTGATAATGCTGCCTCTAATGGGGACCAGGGAGATATATATATATCTATGTGCCAGGCACAAGATATATATATAGCATATACAAATGGATTTTGAGCTTGCACTTAATCCTAAACCTAATTCTAAAAATGCTTAGTTCTTACAACATGGTCCTGCTCAGTACATGCCCTCATGAAGTGATCACTGAAGAGATGGGTGTTCTAGCAAAGTATGAAGCTATCAGGCGGCTGCCTGGTTATCAGAAAGATTATCATCTCCGTTCTTAAAGGCATATTTAGAACAGTCATCTCAGTGAGGTGCAGCTAAGCCCACACAGAGGAAGCACACTAGCCTCTGTGGTTCAAGGGTTATAAATAACAATCTCCAAGAGTGGAGGAGAGGGTTGTATCAGAGCTTCAATTCTGAGCACCTGGTTTTCAGGAGCCTTTGGGTGACAGTGAAGGCCCCAAATCCATGTCCAGGGTCCCCACTCAGATTAGGTTTCCACTGAACCCCTTCAGACTACTGACGAGGGATGTGAAGAGCCTTGCCCTCAGACTGAGTGCACTGGAAAGTGGACTGTACTTTCTAATAAAGTATGTAAATAAAGTGCACTTTACTTTCCAAGAAAGCAGAGACAGTTTAGGTTAAAATGTAATGTGTTGTCACTTGTTCTCCCTTTGGTCCATTTTTAAGTTTTTCCTCGTTCCCATGATCTTGTGCTTTCTCTTGGATTGAGTTTTCACTGTTTTATTTTGGTGTCTTTGTTGTTGTTTTGTCTGTTTTTCTTTATGTGAAATATCGACTAGATCTTTCATAGAGATGGTAACTAGATTAATAGTTCCTTAGGGTTATGGCAGAGGAAGTTTGGGGTAATAAATGAGAAAATGTTCTAAAATTGATTGTGGTGATGATTGCACACCTCTTTTAAATATATTTAAATAATATGAATTATTTGCTGATAAAACTGTCACATATGACATATATATGTCTCTCTCTCTCTATATATATATGTATACATACACACAGGGGAGAGATTAAAAACAAACAAATAAACAAGCTTTCAACCTTGGAAATCCCAAGGAACAGGTAGTTGATCTCTGTCCTATGGGGACACACTGAGTCAGAATCGGCTCGTCAGCAGCGGGTTTCTCTGGGCTTGCAGGGGTATACAAATGGGACGACAAGGAGCTCAGGAGTGGCTGCAGCTCCATACAGAAGCCCCTCCGCTGTGTGGTCTCAATCATTCCTCACTCTCTGCCTCCCCAGGTTCTCTCTGCAAAGGAGCACATGTCCTCTTGCAAGTTGAGCGAGCAGTTGGCGGCCTCACCAGCCATCTGTTGCTGCCTCTCGTCTGGGGAGGAGCAGGTTAATGCTTTGGCTGGTTCTCAGTCACCTCTTCACACAGTGTCTACTCCTACCCAAGTTTCAGCCACAGATGTGTGCACCCATCTGTGCCTCAGTCTCCTGCTCCCTGGGACAGAGATAAGGAACCCAACTGGTGGAGCTTCTCAACTTGGTGGTGGTGGTGGTGGAGGGGGGAGGGGGGCAGAGAGCAGGTGCTTGTCTGGGGACCGCTGGGGTCTGCTGGCCATAGAGGGCAAACAGCATCCTTGGGACAGGCCTTCGATTCTAAGGAGGCTCAACAAGCCCCTTCTCTTGTGTGTGGAGTGTTTGTTGATGTTTATTTCCCTGGCTCCTGTGTGCCTTTGTCAGCCTACCTGATAGCAATCTCAAATCAAATGGAGAGAAGAAACATTTGTTGGAGAAGATTTCAGCAATATAAAAGGCAATAGGAGGAACAAAGAACCAAGTCTGGGTGCAGAGATAGGCACATACTGAATAACAAATAAGAGTGTCATTTAGTTACCATGACAACTGGGGAGCACAATGAAAACAGCAGGGCTTAAGCACGTTCCCTAATGATGAATGGGCATGGCCCTTTGAAACACTGAAACACAGATCACAATGATTCCCACATCTTTCTACCACGGGCTCCCTTCACCACCCCACCTGATACTCCATGTCGTAGCTGGGCAGGATGATCCGCCCATGCTTCCACTCGTTGCTCTGGTCCCCGTGGATGACCCACAGGAGCTTGCTCTCTTGGCTGGCTTCCCGAACCACCTGCAGCGTCACTCCCCGGCTGCCTGCGGTTTGATACTGAAACTCCATGCACACAGGGCTCCGGGCCAGGTGGACAGGCGGGCTGATGAGCCGAGCATACTGGCCCTCTCTCCGGCCGTCATTCTGCAGCCGCAGGAAATTCTTGTCATCTGAGGAAACAAGGCCAAACAGAGGCGCTTGGTAAATGCTCGAGAAGGACAACGCTCTACAGGTGGCCCCTCTAGGGGACTGTTGGGACTGGACTTTGGGTGTTGCCATCAAATCATGTTTTGGTTTTCCACACCTGGGTGGCACAAGGGGTTTGCACTCATCTGCCAACCTAAAGGTTGGTGCCCACCCAGTGACCCTGCAGAAGAAAGGCCGGGTGATCTGCTTCCACAATGACCACAGCTGAGAAAACCACGCGGGGCACAGTTCCACTCTCAAGCACACGGGGTCACCTTGAAGGAAACTGGTTCCGTTCCCTTCCTTAAGGTTTCTTCAGGACCTTGATGCAAATGCTGAGTCTTTTTGAAATCCCTTCTTGAGTTCCTTCCATTAATTGCTCCATCCTGCCTACTTCTCTGGATGCCACTCTCTGTCTCCCTTACAGAGAGCACTTTGCTCGGTCGTGTACATGCCTGTCTCCTCCCACTACATTCTCAGAGGTGAGACCCATGTCTTTCATCATAAGCCTCCTCAAAGGGCCGATGAAGTCTACTAGCCCAAATGATAAAGGAATGGTTTATAGGTGTCAGGTGGCTGCTAAAGGCAGGGGGTGGGGGGTGGGGGATAGTTTGGGTCAAGTGGTTTATGCTTTAAGCCTCTGTCTTCTTGGCTGGGATTGGTCCAAATGGAAGATATGTAAAACCTTCTGCCACCATCGATACTACTAAATGACATTTGGGCTCTAGGAACTCTGACTGCAATTCAGAATGTCCAGTGTCAACTTCAAGCAGAATAGGAAATGGGAGCTGAGTTAGGAGTAATCCAAAGAGCTGGATAGCCCACTTGGTTCCCTATCTTGCCTGGGGAGGCCTGAACTGGGTGGCCTATCTCAGACATCCAGGCACCCAGAGCTTCACTGATAACAGGTGCTGTCATTATCATTGATGAGGGCTGTGTGTTTAGCACAGAGTATACACCAGCTGGGAAATCAAGGCTTCATCCTTTCATATGTTTGGGGAATGGGTCTTTTGGTTGAGTAATTTCAAATACATCAAACACTACACACAAGACTGAGTCCCCATTATGCTTGACAGACCTAACCCTTGGACACACAGGTGTCAAAGTCTGCACCTGCAAATCCAACGTGGGCAGGGACTCTCGGGCCACTACACAGAGGGCAAGTGAGCATTTGAAGAAGAAAAGCCACTGCCTCATTTTGGGAAATATAGGAGCATCTTAGTCTGAAAGCTCCTGCAAGATGGTAAGGATACCTTTTCATCACATACCCAGCACGGAATGTGGGGCACTGCTGACCCTCAAGGTCAGTGGTGTCATGTTCATCTCTTCCCCAACAGGGACCACGAGCATCCTACTCCCTCTCCCCAAAGCCAATGCTCCAGAAGCCACCCTCCCTGGAACTCAGACTAGACCATCGGTGGACTTCCAGCTTGTCTCAACCACGCAGAGCCACACCTCCCTCTGCTCCCGACAGCATGTGATCTCTTCAAAGTCAAAATCAGCACCCTAAGCAAAACCCAACCCATTGAGGTCATACGGATTCATAGCACCCCCCGGGGCAGACTAGAACGACCCTTTGGGGTGCCCAAGTGTGTACATTGTTATGAGAGCACAGTCTCATTTTTCTCCCCAGGGGTGGCTTGCAGGCTCGAGCTGCTGACCCTGTGGTCAGCAGCTCCATGGGAATCCGCTGTGCCACACTGGATTATCCCTACAGAGGAAAATCAGGTGTCCTGTCGGCACAGCAGTTAAGCCCTCAACTGTTATCTGAAAGGCTGGTGGTCTGACCCCACCACCTTCCTAGAAAAAAGACCCGGTGAGCTGTTCCCCATTAAGGGTTCCAGCCTGGAAAACCCTCTGAGGTTGTTACGAGTCAGAAATCCACGACTGTCCCCCATAAAAACCCTCTGCGAAGGGGAAAGACACTGATTCCACAAATCAGACATGCAAACATCGCCTAACCCTACTCTCCCCCATCACATGTGATGACTACTTCTGGTCAGGATCATGAATGTGACTCCACAATGACTTCCACATGTGTTCCACACGCACCATTTCATGTAAGCCGCGCCGTACGTTGTGAACAAGGCAGTGTTCATCTGACTTTGTTCATGAAGAAGCAGAGGCTCGGGAAGGTTACAGTGACTTGTCATGTAAGAGCAGCCAGCAAGCGGTGGAGCGCAGACTCAAGGGCAACCCCCCCACCCACCAAGGCATGCCCTTTACTGCCGGGACCTTGGCCCTCAGCTCTCGCAATCACACACGGCGGAAGGCCAACCAGCTTCCCCACGAGCCCCATGGCCCCCTTTTCTTCTCTTCCTCCCAACACACCACCTTTCTGCCTCTTCCTGAAGCTCTTCAACCTCTCTGGTTGAAGATGCAATGATGCAACGCACAACATTCATTCGTTCCCTCTTCTCTCAATAACTGCACCGGCGACTTTACCGTGTTTGTAAATGGAGTGGAGGCTATTGTCCATGGACTTCACAGGTCATGCCGCACTGCGATACCATAATTTAACTGCTATTGTCCATGGACTTCACAGGTCATGACCCACTGCGATACCATAATTTAACTGCTGTCCCAGTTAGATTGTTACATCTTGCTCTCACACTTACAAGGCTTAATACTTCTCCCTCTATTGTCCCCTCCCCAAATGGGGGCCATCCGGAAGTTCTTTAAAAAATTCCTTGACCTTTTCATCACATTTTTGGCAATGAAATTTTTGAAGCCCTCTTGTATTCTGTTTAAGCATGTAGATGTATGTGTGAATGAATGTGTGTCTAGACCTATACCGGTATCTACCTACATCTCTATGGAGCCTTGGTGGTGTAGTGCGTTTGTGTTAGACTGAGAATGCCAAGGTTAACAGTTTGAATCCACCAGCCACTTCACAGGAGAAAGAGGAGGCTTTCTGTTCCTGTTCCACTGAACCCCCCCCCCTGGCAGCAAGTTTGGATGTTGAGTTTATGCATACATACATGCACGGATCAGTGGTTGTTCAGTGGGAGACTGCAGGCCTTCCACGAGTGAGATCTGAGTTTGGTTCCTGACCCACGGACCCGCTGTCAATAGAGGCCTGCATGCTCCTATGATGTGGAGCTTCTAGACGAGGATGGACAAGGAAGAATGGCCACCACCAGCCAATGAAACCCTGATGGATCCTAATGGCCTTATTGGAAACGGATCACGGCCATGTGCAGGGTGGTACCCGTGGTTTGTGCATTGGGTCACCAGGTACTGGGGTCTGATGTGACAGCAACATGCGTATGACACTGCTGTCCAGTTCTTTTCTGACTCGTGGACTCCAGGGCAGGACTAGGCCAGGGGCTTCTTCGATGGCCATGTTCACGGGTCTGCTGGTGGGGTCCAATTGCAAACTTTTAAGTTAGCAGCTGAGCATCGAACCCTGGCAACACCAAGGCGTGTATACGAAGGGGCTTGGAAAGTGGGCGGGGAGATGGAGTGAAAAGATAGTGGAGTTTTTCCACGAACATAGACGACATAAGAATATACATCCCCTCCCCAAGCACATTTTGCTCCTGAGATACATGGCTAACAATGGTGACAAAGGACAGGTGCATATGTACTGGGAACAAGGGAAGAGGGAGTATCTCGCACCTCTCACATCCCTCCGCACATAGTATCCCTTCGCAACCCCCTCCTACCTTCCTGAGCCAACGGCTTTCCTTGAAGGGGAAGACCCACAAACGGGTCACCCAGGCGAGGGGCCGGTCCACCGCCGCCTGTGCGCACCCTGCGGCTCACATGCACTGCTGGTTCAGGGGAGCCGATTTCAGAGGCTTCATTAGTCACCCTTCTCCCTTCACACTTTCACAAATAAGACCCACTTGCTGACTGAAAATTGCTTGGCAGCGATACTGTCACTTGTGTGAATTTATATTCTTCAGCAGAGGAGGGAATCATAGTAAAATGGTTAGAATTTCCGAAGTGAGATGTGCACAGAGGCGTGAAGAACCGGGCTGACTGGGTTTCATCTGGGTCTGTTCTGTTTGCCATCTTGTGACTAAAACTTATAGCAGAATCAGGCCCATGGTTTTCCTGGACCACCTCTTCCAGGGCCTCGAGACAGCCCCACCCCCTTGCCTCTCCTCTCCCCTCTCTCTCACAGGAAGATGATCATCGCTGTGCTTGATTTAAAGGACCGCTGGAAGACCGGAGAGTTCATGCTAGTGGCGTGCTAAGCACGAGCAGCTGAAGGATCATAATTCAGTGCTGACATCTGAGCTAATCCACTAGTTTGCAGAATCTCCAGACAAGCAGGCCTCCGAATTTCACTGAGCTAAATCATTTGTGCCCCACTTGTCTGTTAAGTGCTACGAGCTCCAGGGAAGAAAGATGATATGTAAATTTAAGGAATTAGCAGTAGACATCAGTCAGAGAGACCCTGAGCTGCAAAACGTCCCTGCCTGTCATTGAGAGGCCTGATTGGACGCAGGGCCCTCAGGAAGGCCTGATTCAGACCAGGAAAAGCACAGGGCAGGGATAAGGGGGTGGGGGTGGGGGTGGGGGAGAGTAGGGAGAAGGAAACGGAATGTTGACTGAGCACCTACTATTGTCAGGCATTCTGGCAGGTATTCTGCCAGGAGCAGGAGCAGGAGCAGGAGCAGGCTCACTGCTCATCTCCCTTCCCCAACAGCCCAGCGCAATAAGCATTACACACTTCAATTGCACTAATGATGCGAGCGGGGTGCAGAGAATTGAAGCAGTGTGTGCAACACCACTTGTAGAGAGGCATGGAACTAGAGACCAAAGCCCTCATTGGAATGAGTGGAAGCCCACGGGCTCTCTTGTCGGCGTTAGCACCCTGGCATAAGGCTCATCCACTAACCTTTTCGTAGCTCAGCCCTCCCAGCTGTAAAATGGCCACACTCACAGTGCCACTGCGTGCGGTTGTGGAGAGGCGTCAATGGCACAAGGCATGTAAAGCACTCGGCATAGCGACAGGTGCACACGGCAAGAG